GGTGGGTTGGGTTGGTTTTGGGTTTTTTAATTTGTTGGCCAGGAAAATCTTTTTTTTAATTTAAAGGCATCCGTATTCCTACTAAATTTCTACTTAATGAAAGGATTTCTGAAAACACCATAAGGCTTGCCCTTATCAACTAATACAAAAGCTTCCTGGTGCAGTAATTGCAATGCCTACTTACAAAATCTGCTAAGTCAGGTATCAGATTCAGTCAAAGCAATTACACCCAAAGACAGTACAAAAAAATCCAATATTCTTCAGTGACAAAGACTGTAAAAAAGCCTGTTCTCACCTTGTCTTTCATTCTTTGCTACTGTAGTAGTTTTCATACTTCCAATGGCACACTTCTAAAGTAACTGCAGTCACCATATGTCCCTGCAACTGTTCATAAACTGTTCATAAAGCTATGCTGTAAACTGAATTATTAAAAAAAGAACCAAAAAGAAAAGAGCTACAGGCCTGTACATACCCTAACATTTTTCAGACTACTCTTTTCAATATCCTTCTACAAGGCACCCCACTCACATGACAACTATCAGCTTTACCACAGGAGAAACCTGCACTCACAGGCTGCAGACAGACAGCCTTTCGCAAGCATCCTCAATCAGCAAAGCTCATCCCCCAAGGGGTACCGCATAAAGGAAAGCATGCTTAAAGAAAACATTCTGAGTCCAAAAAATAAAAATCAAGGGCAGCACTAACACTACAGATGTATTTGAAGTCAGACCTGAGGAACTCCAGTACTTAATATCCAAATTGCAACACCAACAAAAACCCAATCACCAAACCAGTGCATCCACCTGACATTACTAGGTACCTTTTTTTTGTTTGATCTGGAAGCCCCTTGAGTACCTGTAGTTTTCTTTCCCCCCCTTGTACATTCTCAGAATTGAGAAACTTCTGCTTAAAGCCTACAGGAGCTACAAGCCTTAGGCTAAGCTGCAGCACACACTATACAAGTGCCAACCCCAGCATTCCTAACAAACCAATAGTGTTGGGTCTATTAAGTAACTTTGTGAGAACACCAGAAAGAAAACAGATGCTATGACATAAGAGAGCACTAACCCTTCGAGTTCAAAAGCTTGCCTGAAGCTTGAAGCCAAAGGCCATTTCTATCACTTTCCAATTTACCTCAAACATGATTTCCATACATGATTTCCAAAACAAGCCTAGCAGAAGTGTCTAAACCCACAGGCTACACATTCACTCCCCTCCACAGTGGCACAACTTCAAGAGAAAGTTGGGAAAAAGTCCTGTCTAGAACATCTATAGCTGAAATACCCTCTTCAGTAAGTGACAGATACTGAATTGAACACCTTCCCATCGAGGACAGAATTGAATCTAGGACTTCTATTTCCCAGCTCAGTAGCTTAACATGAGTTAAAGCAATCCCAAAAGATGAGTGCCACCTGCTCCTGCACACTCCTTTCAGGAGAGCAGGGACCTCCCTCAGTTACTGGAAAGATGCCTTACCACACAAGGGATCCATATGCCTCACGGAAGCTTTCAGTAAGAAACTGCATTTCAAATCTATCTCTATATAGATTATCACACAATGGCTTTCACTAGATAAACCACCACTCAGTGTATATTTTTTTTCCTGGAATGGGGACACCTACATCTCATATCCTGCTCAGTAAACTAAAGATTTGGTAGGATATTGCATTCCACTTTGGAGACTAAGGACCTTGGTCCCCAGTACTTAGGTACCACAACAGTCAGTCCCTTCAGTGAATCTAGGCCCTGGGTAATTTGTCACAATTTAAATATTTACAAGGTCTTGTGCTATCATTGTGTAGCAAACCCACTATTTTTGTGAAATATTTAAGCTCTGAAACAACTGGCTGCAGCAACCACTTCAGATTTTCATTATCCTGTTTCTTAAGAAGTCTGCTAAATGCTTATCTGTACCTGGGAAATACAGCATGTGAAACTGCCCTAATATTACAGCACCAAAGCCATGACTGCACTGATTCCTTGGGAAAATGAATGACAAAAAATACACTGACAACAAATTTTTCATTAGCAGCTGCAGTCAGTCAGGGCTGGCACGGATATTATACAGGGCACAAACCAGAAAGTACCTGTATTTGCCCATGCAATTTAAAACCATCTGAGGACTTACTTTCTGCATCTCAAAATCTCCTAGAAAGCTTTAACCCTCACACTCTTGATATTTCTGTGGCAAATTTCATTCTCTGGGATAAAGGATATACTCCCTGAGTCTAGCTGACTAAAGTCACTGAATTAAGCCAGTTCTGAATGCTCACAAAGTCCAGCACAGATTTATATAACACAGACCTAGATCAAATGAAGACTATAGGTGAAAACACAGAATATATAAAATATAGACATACTTACTGAGAGTAAACCCATGTATGTAGACAGTCACTTATGGGACTGAGTTTACTAGTAGCCATAAAGACTGACAAGTATATATCTGACAAATAGACTGAAGATTCTTCAAATAAACTGTGACTGTGCTAACTGATATAATAGCAAATCTTAAGCATAAAAACATGGGAGAAAATGATCTGTAGGACCACCAGAGTTTCATCGTGACACCTCTCTGTAACCATCAAAGCACAAATAAACTTGATTCCCCCAGTTAAGTTAAATACAAAACAAAAGTATATTTGGTTACTATGGCTTTACAATTTCACATTCCCTTACTGGATGAAAGACATTAAGTTTCAAATTAATTGATGCTGCTTGTGCTTTTTCTTTTTTTTTTTTTTTTTTTTTTTTTTTGCTGATGATGAAGGATTTTTGGGGTGGGTGGCACAAACAGAACTTAAAATTATCCAACTCAACTTTTGGGATTTGCCACAAAGCTTTAGATGTACCAAGCAGCCCATCTAGGATGGGAATACCTGACTGGATTAACATTAAGGTAACAGTCATCTTTCAACCAACACCCCACGGTCTGAATTTTTTTTTTAAGGAGCTCTTGTTATGACAAGGTCACCCAGTGGCAGTTCCAGTACCACAGACACTGTCTTATCAGGCATGACAATACAAAGTTCTTGAACTCTGTATCAGGATTCTTGTGTCATTCAACTCTCAGGTTTGATTCCTCCAGATTATTCCCTGTCTGATCCAAAAGAACTCAATCTGTAAAAACTTCCCATTCCCTAAATATGAATACTGTTTCTCAGAAGTATGAGATGACATACTGAGGAAGTCAATGAAGGTAACTGTGGTTATCAGGATAATTTAATATTGGCTAATCTGATGATGTTCCCACCTGATATGCCAGTAAGGAAACTGGGAGAAGACTGGCAGCAATGTATGTGTTCATGCACTTCCTTAGTAAAACAGAACACTTAACATTTGCAGCTCTACAAAGGTGACTATGCAATCTAGAAGCATTTCCCCCCTCCCAGCCATCTAAGAAAACCTCTAATTTCCACCTATGTCTTTTGAAGGCTGCTGAAATATTCAGAGACTGTAAAGAGATGCCTCTCTTGCATACCTGGCCCATAAGACTTATTTATTGGTTTGAGACAAACTGATTGCCAGATTTACAATTCTCACCTCACCCAGTAGGCAGATTTTCCCACATTCACTTCTAGCATGAAGCACAGATCGCTAGCTGTTGAGATCTTCTGACTGTCTACATATTTCTCTGATTCCAAAGATCTTAAAATGTATGTGATCTCTACCATTTTTAGGTGTTTGTGTTGCACTGCAGCCTTGAGATAATTATTTCACTCTTTCATGGGTTTGCCTTCTGTATAGCCATCTATAATTTAAATTCTGATAGCTCTTAAATAGGCTTGTCTTATAAAGAATAGATGAGCTCAGCCTCTTCTGACCTTAAATTCCATGAAAACTATCACATACATTTTGACTAGTACTAGAAAGGCAACCTAACCATGCAATGAGAACATACACCTCAACTGGTAACAGTGAATAGCAACGAGTAATGAAGACCTGTACTCATAGCTCCAAGACAATTGTCTCAGATCCTTCATAAGTCCAATTACAGAAATCAATGTAGAGGGAACACTACTGAACCTAGGTCAGTACTGAAGGAGTCTAGGCTCCTCTCTCCTCCATTAAACTTGGCAGAATTTCTTCAGAGACTTTCTGAACTGTACTGTACACTGTGAATCTCAGAATCTTTCTTTAGGCTCAGAATGACCTTCCTAGCTTGACTTCGTTTCTAAATGCTCCTTTCTTTGGCAAGTACATCTATGGCAGGTCTCTTCTTCAGATGACTTTCTTTGTGCTGGTCTCCAAGACTGCTATTCCACTATGGCTGAAGGCTGGATGAAGCCCATTTGCCTACTCTCAGCATTCTCAATGTTTCCTCATATTCTACAAAGACTTTTGTCACCTTCTCCAGGAGACAGCCTGAATTGCACAACACATCACTACCTTTCTGAGAAATAAAGGCATGTACAAAGACCCACTTAATATCAAGAAGCAGATGGAAATACCTGTTGTATCCATCTTCCAGAAGAATTAGTTTAGTGCAGAACAGACCAAATTTGAAACCTCCATGTGGAGAAGCTCTACACAGAAAGGCTGACAGCATTCTGTCCAATGGGCCCAGGCAGCACACAACAACATTGTACAAGATCAGGTGACTCCTGAAGAGCTTTAGCCAGATTAAGAATTAGTAATGCAAAAATAAACCAAGTTCCACCTTGGTTCCCCAGGCAGGAGACAGAGCACTGAGAAGCAGGGTCTCTGTCACCTTGTCTGTCTCCTACGCATGATCTCTGACAATGTAAGCTAGTATCTCAACATTACGTGAATGAAGCATATAGAAAGGTGACACTATGAAAAACAGAAAAAAAACAACTTTTTATGTTTTACAGATTTAATCTTTGCCCCATTAAACTGAATAGGAATCTATCTGGACTTCACTGGATGCAGGATCTTGCCCTGTACGCAAATGCATGCTTCAAGATGGCCTACGTAACATACTAAAAGCAAAAAGTTTAGGAAGGTTGATTTGGTGTATCTGCATAAAGCACAACAATTACCATATTGAAGTAAGACCGGACTTTGACCCCTCTTGCCAAATCCCAAACAATGACATTTCCATCATGTCCAGCAGAGAAGAGAACTCTTGGATCAAATGGATGAGGTTCAAGTACAAACACTTCATCTTCATGTCCCTAAAATTAAAAGATACAGCAAGATGAACAAGAGGATTGTCTTAAATACTTACCTAGGAATTCAATATAACAGCACTAGTAAAAGCAATATTAACCTAAAACAGTGCCCAGCAAATAAGTACTTTAAACATACTTTTTTTTTCCCCACTGCTATATTATACTCTTTTCTTTCCAGTTCCAATTTTACCTTCCTAAGAAGTATGTCAAGTATATCACCTTAACAAGTATGTCCTAATACTTTTGGTAGGATTTTAAAAGATTAGAGTCCATAACATTTGGTATTTTTGGTCTTAATGCTCTGCCTATTTCAAACTGTATAGCACAGTAGCAGTTAGAAATTTAATTTAGAACCATAAAGAATCAAATAGATACATAACTAAAAGCTAGAGAACAATATCTCCAAAATTAATACTGAATTTTAAAGCTTTCTATGAAATATTTCCATCTCTGGCTGAGCATCTAGTTACTTATTTTCTCAGTTACAAAAAAAGTATCAGACATAGATAAAAATGATGTTTGATTTAGTCTAGCTATAAGACTATTTTTTATACTCATTAAACAATTAAGTTGCAGAAATGACTTTGCTGAAACAGGGTAAATTTACCCATTAAAGGTATTTCAAAACATTTGTCAAATTAAATAAGGATAAAAAGAAACAACTGTTTCATTCTCTCCTTCAAGATCACACATTAGGGAGAAAAAGTCCAAAATTAGTTTCAGACATCTTGAACAGCAATGGTTATTTGAAACTTTAAAGCTTTATTTTCTAATAAGCAGCTGACAGACATCACTATTACCCTTCAGTTATCCAGAAACATTTGCTAAGGCAGTTTTCATACAGAAAAACAACCCCAAAACACCAGAAAAACCCAAACAAGCAAACAACAATAAAAACCACGTAAGGAGTAATTTTGATAATGCATTTTGCATTCAGGATTAAAACATCAAGATGGAACACCTTACCATGAGAATATGAATGAGTTGGCCAGTGAAAGAATTCCAAACTTTCAGAGTCATGTTATTTACTGCAGTTATAACAGAGTTGTCATGGCGGTCCCATGCTACCATGGTCACTTTCAGCTTTGTGATTTTATCTTCAACTCCTTGTAAACTTTGCCTAAAACAAAAGAGCAAAAAATTTTGAAGCAATCCTAGTTTGCCAAAACATTTTTATGTTCCTAACATGTGAAATACTTCTCTATTTTTCTTTATTATAAAGAGAAGCACTACTTCTTCAAGAAACCGAAGAAAAAAAGATGTTTTCTATCATGTAGCACATGCAAACACAAAACAATTCTAGCTTAAAAAATGACCAGAGTCCTCTTAGTATCTTAAAGAATATGTTGATCTGTTTTTCCAGAAAGTGCCCTCTGATACTTATGACCTAAGCCAATCCAATTTGACAGCTACAGTATTTGTTGTGACATGTGAAGAGTAAAAATTCAAACTACTCAACCAGTGAACAGTAATTTGTCCTGAGGATTATTTGTAACAAGTAGTTACAACTGTGGAGAGAACTATTCCTATATCTTTAAATGAGTTAAATTCTCAGCCTATATTTAGGTACTATACCACTACCCTTACATCACTTTACTATCAATAATAATGGTGCTTTACCTTGCATGTATTTTATTTTTATCCCTATGAAACCCCAACACTAGCCATCTGTAATACAATCTACCAGAATACTCCAAAATTCCATTTTTGTCACTGTGGTTTTAAGATGATTCAACACTGAATCCTCTAGTACATTAATTTCTGGGAAAACATCAACCAAATGCAACAACAGCATGTTACCACCAAGTAGGCAGACAACATACAGAATCTTCCATATAGTAAGCACTCCATTACACAGAAGTATATATTGAACAACTCAGTAACAGAAAATGCAGTTATAGCCAGATTCTCTTCTGGAGCCGTTGCAAAACCCAGGAGGCTTTACAAGCTGAATTCACTCTTTCCTTTCAGTGCAGTAATTTCATTTTCCTTGACAAAATTGTGCTTGTGCAGAAAACATCAAATTTGGAACTGCACTTAGCCTCTAGTGGAAAGGACAGAACAGCATTCAGTTAAAGGTGCTTTACTGAAATAAGCAGTTCAGTTCCTCAAAGAAGTTCACAGCATTTGTGACCATGATGAAGAATTCATTCCTATTTTTTACCAGGATTAGGTAAAACTAAGAATTCTTACATGCTGCACTTTAAGAAAGAGCAACTCAGTCTGTTCTCAGAGTACCAGTGTTTTATACGCTCCTGTCCAACAGTTTTATATCCTTGTTTTGTTGCATCTGCCCGTAACTGACGATACTCTAAGCTGTAATTTCATTAGACATTTTAATCAGATTTAGCCTTCACTTCCATCCCTCTCTCTCGGCCTCTCAGACATCCTTCCACAGGATTATACCTGAAGTAATTTTTTTTCCTTATTAAATATCATCCTTCAAATCACACAGAATTATTAGTAAGGGGAAAAAGGTTTACCCCTTAAAACTTTCTAATGTATTTTAGTTGGAAAAATCTCCTCCATGCCAAAATAAAACGGTGTAAGCCACAAGCCCTACTAAGTTATTCGCCATCTTCAAGGCCTCTTCTGTTGCTTGTTCCAGTGTACAGAAGTTTCCCATACCTACAAAGTCTTGTAAATTCTCAGCCTGTTTTAACAAATGAAAACCTGTGATTTATCTGCTCTGTCACATGGTACAAAAGAACCCAATACCGTTCTTCCAGGCATGCAGATTCCACGGTATGTTTAAGTATTACTAAAATGCAAGCAGTCTCAACAGATCCGAGCTGGTTTTCTCACTTCAGGAATAAATACCTATGTAAAAAGCCATATAAATTTGACCTTTAATGTGTTTTGAGTATCTTTTATTCTTTTAGTCTAACCAAAATACTAGTGGAGCTATTATGAGGACAAGCTACTTTCACAGCTGAATATATAGTCAAATATTTGTTTTCATTGGACTTCAAGAGCTAGACAAGCATATTGTGCATTTAAACAGTAATACTGTGAGAAGGCATTTCCCCCTTCTTCCCCATATCAATGGCCTTTAAGTATCTACCTGATAGCAGAACATTTTACATCACTTACCCTGCTGGGCGAGTAGCCATATCTAATAAAATGCTTTTCCATTCCTTTCGCTTAAATTGCCAGATTCGTGCTGTTCCATCACGGCTTCCACTCACAAATCTAACAAAAGAAGAAAAAACTTACTTGGACATCAAAGGCAGATCTGTATAGAAAAGACACTTGAAAACTGAAGTCCCAAAATTTAGAACTTGGAAAGGAAGCTGTAAGTAAGTCCAAACAGCGTCAGAATACTGTACTACTGGTGCAAAGTGAAAACCACCTCCTATACCAGTAAAAAAATTGAAGATCTGCAAAAGTGAAATCCTGAGCCCGCTGTATTATTAAAATAGAACAGCAAGAATCCAGTAGATACAGATTATTTAACTGGATGAACCTTAAAGCAAAAACCAGGTTTTTTTTTTTTAAACAGCTACTTCCAGCTGAAACTGATATTTACAAATGTCCACCAGGTCAAAAAACTAGCTCTGAATAAACAAATTCCTTACCTGCTACTACTATTAGAAAACTGAATGCTGTCAACTTTGTCCTATACAAAAAAAGAGTAGAAAAAGAAAAAAGTCAACTATGAATACAAAATATCCAAATTTATCCAAAGTATTACTTTAATCAAATACATATGTAATTTTTTAAAAGTATTTACAGTATGAAACTCCAACTCTGATATCTTCTCTGGCTGACCTGATCCAAAGAAATAAACCCTTATGATGTGATCTGTACTTCCAGTGGCCAGAAACATTCCACCTGAGAAAAACAAATAAGACTTAAGCAAAAAGGGCCATCTAATGTTATTAGAATATCTTCATACAGCTGTAACATTAAATACTTAAATGTATTCCCTTTATAGCTGTATCTCATTTCACCTATGTAACTAATCTTTAAATAAAAACAAGATTTAGAAACTCTGAAGTTTAATTGGAGTTAAATTACCTCACATATGCTCTCAGATAAATACAAATCTGTAGATGTACATGAAAGATCAGCTAACAACAGTAATTTGTTTGCAACTAAGGCCTTAGAAGCTTAAATCTTAACAAAAACTGAATAAAATTTGAGCTTTAGCAAACTTCCTGAAAACAAGTTTGTCATTCTGATACTTTATCCAATTATTTAGGTTGTATTCTTCAATTGCCAACTCTGGAATCTCCTTGTCCCCGTAAATTCCACCTCAGATAAGGCTGAATCTCAGGATCACTCTGACAAAAAGGTATACATCATGTTTTAAAAGACTGGCAGTCACAAGAGACTTACTTTCAACATTACTTATTAAACTGTTTTCAAGAATTTCCATATTACCAAGCATTAATGCATAGATTCTGAATTTCTATTTTAAGTTTTTGGGGTTTTAATAGCTATTTTAACTCAACTGCATCTTATTAACAAGAAATATGATACAGTAAATGTATTATACTTTTATCATTATACTTTCCAAATGACTTGTTATATCAATATACGGGAGAAAAAGAAAAACAAACAGAAAAACCCATAAACAAAAAACAGAAGTCTTTTACCAGCACTAAAAGAGGAACAGATCATTTGGACCCCAGGACGAGGGCGCTCTGTAAACTTCGTTGGCCTTGGACTAGAAATAAGGAAATAAGTTAAACAATTTCCTAATAGTGCTTCAAAAAATAAGTCAGTATCTTAGAAATAAAGCACAGAAGGATAAAATTAAATATGAAGGAACAGATGGCTGCCCATCTATAAACAATTTTGTGTGACTATGCTTCATGATCTGATCTTTAGGAAACTAAGACATCCAGATGGACTAAGTAATCCATGTATCAAGGACAGTTGTCTCACAACTTAAATACCATTCCCCTCTCCACTCCTGCTATACAACACACTCTTCCTAAGTCACCAGCAAAGCAGAACGGAAGGCATTAGAGCCAGTTAGTTGCCCATGATGTTCAGTTTTAAACCACTAGGTGCACTGGAACTCAGGTTTTCTCCTGCAGCACATGACTGCTTTCACAAGAGACAAGCAGGGCTTGCCAATCTTTACAGATGAATACAAGAGAAATTTAAATAAATAAATATTTGAATAAATAAAATATGCTATTAGAATATACCAGTTTATTCAGAGGACATGTACTCTTTGTGGGCTAGCTCCAAATAGTGCCCAAAGAATGGCAGGACAGTGGTTAGAAGTTTGTAAGGATTTTTACTTTATGGCCTGTGTTTTCTTTTAGACACTTCAGAACCTGATGTGCAAACAGAACTAAAGCTTCAATAGATTTAGCACTTTAAGAGTGTATAAAACCAAAACAAATCAGATCTGGCTCTTCAATCATTACTTCAATTCTGCTCATGCACTGCAGCAACCTCAGAACAGTAGGTGGTCCTGCACAGTATACCATCTGCAATCTTCACTCAAAGAACAAACTTACTAGGGAACAGCAGCATTACACCCACAACTGTCATCACTAAAGATCTGTTTCAACATAAAAAGAATGCATATTCATATCTTATCCAAAATTTTATCTTTCAAAAGCAAAATGGTCTATATAATTTATTTCAGCTGAAGGCAGATGTATAAGAGACCTTTCTCCACTAACCATCTATTGCTATCTCAAAGAAAGTAGTAAGCATTAAACTTCAGTGGTGCCTGTGTATAAAACGAAGTAATAAACACAATGAACATCAGTTAAATCTTTCTCAAAACTGTCCATTCAGTATAGGCTGTTTTCTGTGAACTTTTCTCCAGGAGTTTTAAGTTAATTCCCTGCAGACTTATGACAAGGAAACTTCTCAACAAGATACACAAAACAAGACAAAAGTCTTTTCTACAGCAGTTGAAACCCTTCTTAACTGAGATACTAACAAAAGAACTATCAGACGATTCAATATGCAGCTTACTTAATTTGGAGCAAGTGTAAATACATAAATAGACTGCTGTTTTCTTCCACTGTGGTTTGTGAACTCTGCCTTTGGAGTTAGGACAGCTGTAAAATAGAGCAAGTATGCACTTACGTTCTAGTTTGAATAACCAAGTTAAATTCTCCAACCTATTCCTCTCTAATGTGTGCTACTGTAGGCATTAGGAAACAAAAGATCATGTCATTCTTTTACGACAGAGCAGACTGTGGTCTTTGCAACATAAGCCAGGCAATCAGTATTTTTGGGAAGCAAGGTAAGGGGATAAAAGCGTAATTTTTTTGCAACATGCAGAAACCAAGCTAATTGTCTTGCTTTAAAACATTCTCAATCCAACTATTAAGTGGCTGGAAGGCACCAGGATACCTTCACAAACACTTGATAGACAGGTCCAGAAAAGCCCTGGTCAGACATTTTCCTCTTGGAGAGGAAAAGCTCAACATGAATCCAGAAATGAGACGCTGCAGTTCAAAAATAACCTGCACTTAGAGCAGCAGACAAAGAAGCCATTTGGTCTATAGGCCTCAAGTAAGGGACACTATCAGCCATATAAATGCCTCAAAATTAGGAATAGTTACCTAATTCAGCTCTACAGACTAACCTCAACCTGGACATGTAGTAGCTCAAGCAAGACTTCCCAGGAAACACCTGTGTGATATAACCTCTCCAAAAGAAGTCTTTGCTCACAAGCTAACAACCAAGGTTCAACATGTCAGAATTCCGATGTATGACCAGCCCCTTTAACATCAAATGCCTTCTGATTAAGAAAGGCAGATGGGAAGTATAACATCACACTGATGACAACTAAATCAACATCTTGTCCAAAACAGGAACATCAAAATCATCAGCACGTTTTCCCTATCCATTTTTTTTCATCTTTTTAAAATTATGGGGGAAAAACCCCAGTACAGTAAGCTCCTCTACCCAAATTTGTGAGACTGTTCTGCTGCCTTGGTCCTAGGGTCTGCCAGTAACAGACTGATAATGGAAACATGATCCAAACAGGTGGCAGCAGAAAACTCACCATCTTTCTGAGAGAAGACACATGTGCAAATATTTTGCACTGCAATTAATTTAACTTTGATGCACTGATCAATTGTAATAATCCTCCCTAAATTTGAGGCAGATTATTCTTCATTTTCTGTCTCCTTACTGTAAACTGACACAGAATCCAGCTCTTGTGTTTCCTATCACCATCCAGAATAACAACAGGAGACTAAATACAGGAAAAATCTTGGTTGCCTAATTTTTTAATTGTTTTCCCATCTTGTTTGGACCACATTCCTTGACTTCCTTACCTGCAGTAACAACTAACCTTACCATTCCTCTATATGGAAACCAGAATCTACCTGGAATGTTACTCCTTTTAGACATACACGGTAACTGCTTGGTCAGAAATCTCTTCACTGAAAGAAGAGAAGCACACTGGAAGATCTATAGTACTGAAGAACATGCATCCACACTAGTCACAGAAGCACGTGAACAAGGCTGATCCTTCTCCTTTGAACAACATGAGAATTCTGTGGTTAGCCATGCCAGTGATTCATCATACAGCACCAAATCTACTGTAATGTGTCCTTTTGCAATTTAACAAAACAGAGCTCTGTCACCAAGCATCTCCTGTCTGGGCCATATGTGTGACCTAGATACTGAACATGCCTCAATTAACGACATTATCATAAAAATTGGGAAACCAACATAGGAAGTCTCTAATTTCAGAGATACTATTAATACTGCAGCAGAGCTGCCGGCAAAGCTGAATACAAGGATTTTTGAGAACTGAGAATGAAGCAAAATAAACATTTGCAGAGATTAAAAAAAAATCACCACCAACAAAACAACAAACTAAAATAAAACCAAACAGAAAACAGAACTGGCAGAACTGGGATAGGGCACTAGACACTAGGAGGCTTAAAAGATGTCAAAGTCCATTTTAATGGCAAATACTACAGTTTTCAAGGTAGTGAGTTTTCCAGTTTTTCATGATCTGTTGAGACAAATGATTGCTCCATCATATCTTGATCTTGCAAGTGCGGAATAAAGAACAAAAATTTCACGTTTCCTCATCTCCTGACGAAAAGGGAAAGAGTCCCTTCAAAGGGAGTTCTTCCCAGGAGGGAGTAAGTCCAATTTTCATTTAAAGTTGATAGAGTTGATCCAGTAGACTTAACCATAAAGCTGGTTTCCACTGAAACAGTTTTCAGTGTAGTTAAGAACAAAACTGGTAGCTTTTAATTCAAGAGCACTCAGAAGACAGTAGTGTATGCAAACGCTGCCTCTCCCATATTTCATGGGAAAAGTTCAGCAAAGTACTGCTGGCACTGCCAAAAATCTTGAAACTACAATCAACCACATGATCATCATGAGGCTGCGCAACAGCTCATAACCTTAATTTACTGCCAGATGATTCAAGTAGTGCTGAGTATAAAAAACAGGGGTGGAGTATAGGTAGATACAGAGTTTTTTTCTTTTAAACAGATGAAATTTCAAGACTTCACCACCAGTCCCCATTTAAAGTACTGGATGATTCAGTAACACTTTCATCACTGATAACAATTGTATTCTTGATGGACAGGCTGTAGTGACGCTCAGGAAGAACATGAAATCAAGTTCTGACTTAAGGCATGTGATAGCACCCTTCTTCACCTGTACAACTCAGATCTTTTGGTCTTGCTTGAAAGCTCCCATTTCCTAAGCTTCCTTGGGTGGGAGTGGTACTGCAACCATGAGACATGGCTGCAGGCTCAGAGCCTGAATAATTGTTGGAAGAGATCTTATTTTCTCTGCCAGCTTTCTTCTGTTTTAGAGATACTTAACAGAAACAAGTTTGGTTTTTTTTCTGTATAGATAAAAGGAAGAACAAACTTCCCACCCCACCAGTTTATTTTCTCCTCCAGATAGCCTACATGTCATGTTTTCTAAAAAAAATTACCTCACAATAGGCCTTTTGAAGAAAAGTAACTGGAACTCTATTTTTCTTGACACTCTTATATTGCTAGCACTTGTTTTCCCCCATTATTGAATGGATTGCATGTTGCTGCAGTTCTAGAAGCAGATCCAAATCTAAAGGTGTAAGGAAGTGCAATCACTTCACTGAAGACTGTTATGACACTGACCATCCACTGCAGCTTACTTGTGGAAAATTACACTGGACTCTTAGTTTCCAGGTATCACTTATTTTGGTTTACTGGAATATGCGTGGCAACCACAGCTAGAAAAGTTTATAGTTTAGCTGTAAGTAAAGCTGTAAGTGAAACTTCCCATAACAAATTCTCCTGAACTAGTATACTGTTCAGTTCAGGAAAAGATACATGAAGACTTTGCTGTGTGTCCATCTATTTTGATATTGTATGTGACAATCTGCTTTTCCCAGTCCAAAAGGACGTATCTGTTTCTTATTTAGACTTTACCATATTTTTATCAAGTCTTAATCATATAACCATAAATTCTTCTAGTCTTATGTTGGAACAAAAAGTGTTGGATCAAAAAGTGTCAATTACTTCAAATACTTAACAGGTTTACCAAGTCCAAACAAAGATTCAAGACCAGCATCCTGCCTCCAAAGTAGCCAAAACTGAAAGTGTTAAGAGCAGAAAAAGCACAGAGTGATGCCTTTTAAACCTTCCTATAATGCTTAATATTCTGTGGCAAGGAGTTTCATAACTGTCTGCTTTGTAAAGAACCATCTCCTTACAATTTGGAATTGGCTACCCTCACTTGATATCCTCTAGTACAGTAAGGGCCAAAAAGCAGTTATATGCCCTCCTCAAGACACCCATGACTCTTCATGTTTCATCTTCATGCATTCATCTTTTTTCCACCCTGAAGAAACAGAGCTTAAAGGGTTCCTCTGTCTTCTCAAACGCAATGTACAAAATATTTCCAGAACAGAAGGTAGAGATGACACAAATTCCAGTCTCAAAACTTTATCTGCATTCTGTGGTTAATCACTGCCATGACTTTGTTTTCCAGACCACTTCCTTGCTGAACTGCACTTCCTTCAGCTGCACCAGACAGCTGAACTAATCTCTATGCCACTGCCTGATCACATCTGCTGTGACTACTCAGAAGTGAAAGCATTACTAAAAAATCCTTTATTCCTTTAATATTTTCTGAGTTCATCTGACTGTAAATTTTTATTCTCCATTTTATTCTCCATATCACCATGGAAAGGAATGAGTTGAGAATCCCCTACCATAACTGACGTCAGCTTTCTCACTCCGTAAGTTTTACCTCAAGTTAAACCCCATGCGACCCCATGATTCATCCAAAAATTCATGATTTCTAAACATTCAACTCCCAGCTCATATATTATAACCCACTTAACTCTCATGGACTCCGCTATTCTCCAATGACAGTATTTGTTTCAAAATTCAATTCCATAGACTCAAACTTTACTTAGGAAAAGGAGAAAAAATAAAGAAAGAATGTGAGAGAAACGTGGGCTCGAAGGTTTACAAATCAGGCAGATTAAGATTTCATCTTGTCAACAAGAGCTCAGACTTAAGAGACATTAAGAAAAATAACGTGGTGGCAACTCCTTCACACATTAAAAATAAGCATGTAAGCCATCTCCTCCTCTCAGTAAGAAAGAGTCTTAATTTGATTACAGCATGCACCAGTCAACAGAGGATTAACAGCCTGAGAAGCAGCTTCATCTACAGTATCAAGAGAGCCAAAATGCCCAGAGAATGACAAAATAGTTCAGGGCCAGACAACTAGAGAAGTATCTGAACAAACATATCTACAAGCCCTACATAAACCTGTTGCACTTCAGGAGAGTAATTCTAACAGCAATTATCAAACTACAAGAAAATGGGACCTACCTGCCAGGAGAAAACATCTGTAAGAACATATCCCATCCCCAAAGCTAAATCACTAATGATTACAAAAACAACTGTTTCTAATTTTAAGCTACAGGTATTTTGTGATAAAGGAAAAGAAGGAGAAAAAGCATGTGAAAGCCAATTAACAAGTTAATTTAAAACAAACTGTCTCTATTTGAGAGTCCTGACAACATCAAAAATGTTTTATGCTTTGAAAGCAGAAACTTCAGGCTCAGCTTCAGCCACCAAAACACAGCTGCCCAAGAATTCTGCCTCCTGCCATGCTACTGTAAAGAGCAACTAAGAAAAGGTAATACAGATAAGGAAAGAACAAACATCAAAAATACCCATTCCTACTAGGACATTACAGTCTCCTAAAATCCCTGGATTTTCAACTCTAAATTGCAATCATTTTATCAACGTAATTTTAATTTCATTTGGGCTTGAGGTCAGAACAGAACCAAAAAGTGCCAACTTTGACATTACAAAAAACCCCACAATACCTCATTAGACTTTTTTACAAAAGTGACAGAGATACAGCAAAAGAGTAAAAACAATACACATGCTTCACTCCACAAAATGTTGTATGATCAATTTAGTCCTTAAAACACAAGCAAGCAATAGCTACATCACACAGTGAACCAGCCAGTGACAAGTTTTGGTTTAGTCAATTTTTTATCTCAAACATTTGTACATTATTCTTAACTACAAAAAAAAAACAACAAACCCAAGAAAGCAACTAATAAAACAGCAACTAACTTTATTTTAAGGGTGCCAGCATCCCACAGCCAGAAGCATATTGTTCCATCTGCCCCAGTTGAAGACAAGTATCGCTTTGAGCCACTGCACAGTGGAGAGAACTGGCGGAAGAAATAAAAAGAAAAGGTCTCCTGTTAATCTGTTCCAGATGTTCTAAGAAGTTCCTCAAGTCATTGACTTCTGACACAAAACTGTACTTTGGGAAAGTAAATTATAACTCACACCAAAATAACATGCTGCTGCTCAGAGCTAATCTCTTCCTTCAGAATAACCCTTCTGGGTTACTTGCCAAAGCACTCTGGATTCTCCCTCCCCACAACCCATGTTGCGCAACAGTACGAAACTCTAAACAGAAACAAACCAAAGTATTCAGCAGTGACTGCAGTTCTTACTCAATGTACCTGCACTATGAATCACAGCCTACAAAGGAGCTATACTTCAAAACAGAACTGCCCACATGTGCCATTCAACTTTTTTTGAACAAGAATTATGCGAGGTATTTTTCAAGGGTCACGCATTTTGACAATAGTCACGTGTTATTTCACAATGTGTACCATGAAAATTCCTTCTCACTTCATGGCTCTGTTGCCAGCCATGCATTTTTATTACAAAGAACATTCTTGGGTGGTTCCTTTTGCAGTCAAATGATTCATTTTCTTGCTCAGGTGAATTTGCGAAGCAAAAACCTACCTGCAATGATGTTATAGATGCACTGTGGCCCTGCAGAACTGCTAAGGGTGCACAAGTTCGAAGGCACCAAACTCTGATCATTTTATCACAGCTTCCAGCAGCTATCATGGTGTTTTCATAGTTGACTGCCATATCAGATATTTCAGCTGCATGCCCTCTTAGGGTAGCCAACAATCTTCCATCATCTGTTGCCCAGATTTTTACAAGGCAATCATCTGATCCCTAGAAGGCAGAAATCATTTCAACCACACCATTAGTGATTTTGATGACACAGTTAACACAATTAACCAAAAAACAGAACTAGTGGCATACAGAGATAAACATTCCCCCCCCCGCCCAGCTTTCAACAATTTTCACATTGCATTCAAAACACAACATGAGATTACATTTTCAATAGTATATGCAAAGCATAAAGCATTTATAATACAGATCATAAATCCTGCAGCAAGTTGGATTTATGCTCTTCAGCAAGACACTTTTTGCAAAACTCCAGCCCAAATTGAAGAAGCTGTTGCAATACACTGAAATAAAAATTTACATTAAATGTGAAAGTGAATTACGAATTGGTGTAGCGTCTGCCTGTTAGCATTATACCCACTTACGTACCTTATCTTCCTAGCTTGATCTTCATGCCCTACCAGCATTAGTAGTATGCTTACCAAGTAACAGTGAGGTAAAGAGCCTGTTTTAACAGCTAAGCCATTATTAAGATGGAGTACCATAAATCAAAGTTGTCGTTCACATCAACGAACATCAAAATGACCACTTTTTGTCAACAAACTTTACAGGCTTCACTACCTATTCATATTTAACTCCTATACTGCTGATCTTCCCACATCATTGTAACATCTGCTTGGCTGCATACAACAAAGTCATGGCCCTAGCAAGAATTTCAGAACTCGGCCTTTCATTTTTTATTGCATCTGAAAGTGTTTTCACAGCTCACTCGACACAATGGCATTTGAACACTGCAAAGAGACACTGACAGGAGAATTGCTGTAAACGTTTCACTCATTTGCTTAGGTTCAGAAGCAATACAAAGCCAGGAGTTGGGTTTTAACATGCGGACCACTGATCTGCTACTGGACACAAACATGTGCCACAGCAAGCTACAATGTGACACCATTGTATTATTTCACCTGGGTTTTCCTCTTTTATCTGTGTACATAAATTCTATAGGATTTATTCTTTATGGACGTCAGAAGGCAAGGCAATAGTATCATCCACCTTTTATAAAAAAAGGTATCCAAAGTACAACAGCCACATTTTTAAAAGACTGGCAAGCATTCAGTAAATGCAAGCATCTAACAACCAGAAGTCTCATATTTAGAGGCTATTTTCAACATTACAGCTTTTACAAACAGGCAAATTATAGATATTTTCCTTATTTAGTACACTCTTAGACTACATTCATGCAGCTACAGAAATTCCACACTGCCATAGCCCAATTTTGCTACTGTTCTGGGCAGCCCAATTCCAGAACACCAATACCCAGCTTGGCAGGGTCTCACTGATGCAGCTACTACATGTGGAGTAGAGGCAAACACTCCAAGGCAATGCTCTCAGGAAGGAACCCAGGTACATCCTGAAGCTACTGGAATGCAGAAAAGAATTTAGAAAGCTTTCTTCTTCCCTTTTCTAAATAAATACTGACTAGCCTGTTTACATTAATGCTGATGAACAGGCAATTTACTTTCCCTTATTTCTTTAACTTTGTATTACTACTATATTTCAGAAAAGTCAGTTCTCCACCTGAAAAAGCAGCTAAATTTTACTCCTTAGTTCAGATTCAAAACTACGATTTGGGAGAAGAAGAATACCATGCATGCAGTTACTTAACAATTATATACCCAATTCTCATTTGTAGCAACACCCTGCAAACCAGGCAACTTCCTCAGGCTTACATTTTGTTCAGTGAACAAGAAGTTGTTTCTGGCTCACAGGCAATTATCCACAGCAGTTTCTCTCTTCCTTATTTATATCAATTTGGACAAAACACACACACCTCTCAACACAAGGAGATACAGCTACAGCCCCAGTTTGTGAAACAGTTGAAAGCAAGCTGATTGTATTTAGGTACACTGAGAGCACACATTTTTCTACAGTTCATAAATACAGGTTACTCTCTACAGGTCTTCAGTATTAGCAAAAAGGCTACTTTGGAGCACTGGTGACATTTTAACCCCACAGAATATCTTGCAGGGGGGCTCCAGACACATGAAATCAAGGTAGTTTAAAGGTATAGCCTACACTATTTCTACTTATGCATAAAACTTCCACACTGAAATTGTGGTAAACATCTGCCTTATTTAACTGCTAGACTGCTGCAGTGACAGCCCAGGGAAAATAACCAGACTCTGCAGATTGGAACAGCAACGGACAGACAGAACCACTGAAGTTTAGGCTGAGAAAGTTGGGGCTAGGCTGAGAAAGTTGGGGCTGTTCAGCCTGGAGAAGGCTGCGTGGAGACCTCATAGCAGCCTTCCAGTATCTGAAGGGGGCCTATAGGGATGCTGGGGAGGCACTCTTCATTAGGGACTGTAGTGACAGGACAAGGGGTAATGGGTTAAAACTTAAACAGGGGAAGTTTAGATTGGATATAAGGAAGAAATTCTTTCCTGTTAGGGTGGTGAGGCACTGGAATGGGTTGCCCAGGGAGGTTGTGAATGCTCCATCCCTGGCAGTGTTCAAGGCCAGGTTGGAGGAGGCCTTGGGTGATACGGTTTAGTGCGAGGTGTCCCTGCCCATGGCAGGGGGGTCGGAACTTGATGATCTTAAGGTCCTTTCCAACCCTAACTATTCTATGATTCTATATTTTAAGCGGAAACCGACCTCTGGAGAACATCTAGCCCAACCCCCTGCTCAAGTACAGCCAGCTAAGCAGGTCACATAGGACCATGTATCAATCATTTCAATTCTGTTACCTTCTGCACACTTACTGAGGATACCCTCTGTCCCATCACCCAGGTCCTTAAAGAATGTGTTAAAACATACTGGCCATACTACCAAACCCTGTGGTACACCCCTGGTGACTGGCCTCCAACTGGACTTTATACTGTTAACCACAACCCTTCAAACCTGGCAGTTCAGGCTATTTTCAATCTCACTGTACTCCCCTAGCCTGTACTTCATCAGTTTGTCAGTAATGATGCTACGGGAGACAGCGCTGACAGCTTTGCTAGTCAGGAAAAACTAGCCATCCACTACTATCCCTCATCCAACTTAAGTCATTTAATTGTGTAAGGCTATCAAGTTGGACAGGAATAATTTCCTCTTCATAGATCTATGCTGATCACCTTCTTGTTTCGTTTGGTAGCGGCTTTCAGGAGGATTTGCTCCATCAGCTTCCTAGGTGATTGACATGAAGGATTTTTAATTTCCTAGAATAACTTGCCCTTCCTGAAGGCAAGAGGGACAGTTGCTCTATTCCATTCCTCACGAATCTGTTATCATCATGGCCTTTCAAGGACAATCAAGAATGGCCTCACAGTGTCACTGGCCAGTTCCCTCAGCTCTCCTAGACCCATCTCTGTTAATGCAGTTATACAATCCAAGGAAAAAGAAAGTAATCTATAGGCAAAACTGCACAATAACCAGTGAACCCCTCTGTTTTACACCAAAAGTCCTAAACTTCAAGCATGCTAGAGCACCCTACTAACAAGCACCATTTTGGACAGTGCCACAACTGTTTTCTGAGCATTAATCTTCAATTTTTCTATTATCCTTCAGCATTATCATTAGAAAATAAGTAAATAAATATAAGGATCAGAGCAGCCTAGAAGCAAGTACAATACAAATTCTGTGTTTTTTCTTAATTTCATCTAAACTAGGACTCTGATAGTCATATTAATCACAACTCAGCAACCCAAGTATATATTAATTCAATTACTTGGTGTGAACCTCAAAAGTCCTTCTGAGATATCAGAACTTCTTCAAATTGTACCCTCACAAACTGTAACAAGTGCTTGCAGTCTCTGCTCTTTGCCCCACCATGTCAGACTGCACGAATATGAAAACAAAGTGCTCAGTACTCTAGCTTGTTCTCTTTCTCTCTCAAAATCTTAAGCCCTTGAAAAAAACATTTCCTTCTAGATCATTGACCTTGTTTTGATTCAGACCCACCGAACTAAGATTCAGTAAATGAACCTACTGTGCACCTTATTCTACCTTTATTGCTACTTCCCTTCAGAAACAGGTCTTAATAGGTAGAACTTAGGACCTCCAAAAAGATGCTCACCTATACATGACTTCTACAAGAAAAAAGGAAGATTCAAGGACATTCTGAACTGCCAGTTGTTGAACTGCATTTAAACGTAGTTGTTAATCTTACTCCTATAGAATACCTTGAAAGAAACACACAATGTTATTTGTTAAAAAAAAAACAAAAAAACAAACCAAAACCAAACAGAACTGATTAGCTCAACCACAGAATGTTTTTGACAACCATATATACACAGGCTAATTTCACTTGTAGCTTGATTTATTCACTTGTAAGTTGCTAAGAAGCTAAAGAGAAGGAAAAAGGTTGGTAAACAAGCTCAGTAATGCACTCTTTCACATGAATTCTAATGAACAAGTTAACACAGGTTTACAACGGAACTAGCAAACTTGCTGTTTAGAGCTTTATAAGCAGTTTAGAGGAAAAATGGGGCCCTTTATCTCTAAACTCTGTTTATAAAGCTCTAAGCAGATTCAGTTTTAATCCCTTTGCTTCCTTAAAAACAAACACAAGAGCACTCTATAAAGCTGTCAGATTTGGATTTTTTTACCCATGCTCACAAAGTTCCTGCAACTCTTCCTATATTCTAGATTCCAATTTGCATTTCTGCATCTAAAGCTTCAGAAAGTTTGAAACTCTTCATAATTATCTGAATAACAGTATCAGCTCATTCTGTTCTACTGTTATCATGATGTTAGACTTAACAACATGAAAAAGCTTGTGCATTCTTCTCAAAACTGCAGTCAGCACCAGAACACCCCAAGAAGCAGAGAAGACAACAAGGGTGTGCATGCACATGTGTATGCGTAAAACTGATGCTGACAAATAACAGCTTCACTGCTCAGAAGAGAGACGTGAAAGCAGAAGGGAATGCAGAACCCCAAGCTTCCAAAACACTATAAAAGGTGAAAATAATTCACATGTGGATTTACCTCCTTCTCAAAGCAGTACACGCATGAGAACAGAACCAAGCCATTAACATTAACTGCATCATAGTCCAGAAACCTCAAACCACTGGTCCTGTTTTTCTTGGGGCTGCACAAATTAATTAAAAAATACGCCACTGACAGAACTATGCATATTACATCAAACACGCTTCTGCAATTCTCACATTGTACAGATCAATATTATGAATAAGCTGCTGACTTTACAGCAAAATTACAGCCTGCAGACATTTTACCAGATGAACAGATTGTTCAAAGCACAGGAAAAAAAGAAATAAAAGAGAGAGAAGTCAACCGATAATCAAAACCCCGCATTATGAGAGCCCTAAAATGCTGCCTGCAAAGCGTAACTGATGGGCAGCAACCTGCACATAGACAACCTGAATATGTAAAAGGGTCAGCAAGAAAAGCAAAGCTAGTTCTGGGACACAATGTCACCTGGAGGGTCCTCAGAGCTCTACTTAATAACAGCAAACCAAGGAAAGAACATCAGCATAAAACAAGCCTGCTCCCTACCAGCTGACTATAGTATAGCTATAGAGGAATGTGTGTATGTCTCCACGGCAGAGGAAAATAAAATTACTGTTAGCAAGTCTTAACAAGAAAAAAAGAAAGGGGAAAAAAAAGGGAAGAAGAAAAAAAAACATGACCTCAAATAAAGCTGTAAATTCTGTAGCATCTTGGCAAGATTCAATATTATAATCCCATAAATTTATTTGAACTCTATCTGAATTGAATGGGACAATTCGCTACTAGCAAAGGCACTGGCTTACACCACAGCTCAGGTTTCCAAGGTTATATCTGCAACTGCTATGAATTATGTGCCTATTAAAAAGCATTTGTCAAAAGTGAATCCTAGAACAAGTTCAGCACCAAGAGAACTAATGACAGCATTGCTAAGGTATGGAGTAAAACTGGTTCACTTTCCTACTACTACACACACTTGTGGGCTGAAATGAAACTGCCAAGAAACATCCGAATTAATCTTGGATTGGAAATCTTACACAGGCTATTACACAATGCTGTTTATTATTCCTTAGAAAGAATAACCTCAAAGGAGACAGGATGATAAAGGTGGGGAAAATGGAGACAGCCGTCTTTCTCTGCAGTCAGAAAGTTAAGTAGCTCAGGAACCAGAAAGACAATGCTTGTTTCTATTACGCTGCATGAGTTCTGCAAGTCATGCTTTTCAAGATAGACAGAATACAAAGTCTCATGTATCATTTTCTTCACTGATGGCTGATAGGTCTTTTACCCGAGTCTTTGCAAGTAAAGATACCTTAATTATAGTTAATTAAAAAAAACCCTAAATTACCATAGTTTGTGTATTATGAATATTTTTGTATATTAAAAAAAAAAAAGAAAAAAGAAAACAATTTAAAAACCAGTGTGTAAAAGGTTGATCTTCAGAAACACCTAGTGAAAACCATACAAGAATATAAACAGAAACAATCATTGCATGAGTTTGTGGTGGGCTGACCCTGGTTGGACACCAGGTACCCACCAAAGCCACTCTGTCATCGCCTTCCTCACCTGGACAAGGGGGAGAAAATGTAACAAAAGGCTCATGGGTGAAGGTAAGGACAGGGAGAGATTGTTCACCAAATCATAAGAATGCTTCCCCCACAACCTTTCCCTTCTTCCTGGGCTTGACTTTACTCCTGATCTTCTCTACCTTCCCCCCAGCAGCACAGAGGCATGGGGAACTAGGGTTGTGGTCAGTTCACCGCACGTTGTCTCTGCTACTCCTTCCTTCTCAGGAGGAAGAACAGAGTGGGGGTCACCCCATGGGAGACAGTCCTCCACAGACTTCTCCAATGTGAGTGCTTCCCACAGGTGGCAGTTCTTCATTAACTCATCCAGCATGGGTCTCCCATGGGATCACAGTCCTGCCAGCAAACCTACTCCAGCGTGGGCTCCTCCCTCCACACTGACACAGGTCCTGCCTGTAGTCTGCTCCAGTGTGGGCTTCCCACAGTGTCACAGCTTCCTTTGGGCATCTCCCTGCCCTGGTGTGGGGTCCTCCATGAGCTGCAGATGGATACCTGCTTCACCATAAACCTCCATGGGCTGCAGGGGATAGCCTGCCTCACCATGGTCTGCACCATGGTCTGCAGGGGAATCTCCGCTCTGGTGCCTGTAGCACCTCCTCCCTTCCTTCTGCACTGACTTTGGGGTCTGCAGAGCTGATTCTCTTACATATTCTCATTCCTACCTTTCAACTGCTGTTGACCAGGTTTGCCATCCCCTTTATTCAATATGTTACCCCAGAGGCACTACCACCATCCCTGTTGGCTCAGCCTTGACTAGCAGCAGGTCAGTCCTGGAACCAGCTGGCACTTGCTCCATCAGATACAGAAGAGGCTTATAGCAACTTCTCATGCCACCCTTGTACCCCTACCTTTTCTCCCTGACATAAAAACCCAATACAGACCTAATAGCTAGTAGAACTGCATAATGCCCTGTTTTCATCGCCTTTAGGCAAACTAAGAGCATTATCTTCCTAGCAAGCATCTCCCAGAAGAGTATGACTCAGAAGTGTGCTGAGATCACTTCATTTTCCTTTTAATTTGAAGCAGAACATAAAAAGAACTTGAATTTAGAGGCTTTCAATCCTCAGAGGCCAGGAGGAAAAGGAAACAGTTATGATGCATCTTCTAGAACCAATTATAAATCTAAACCAACCTCTCCTCTAGCTCATGTCACACTGAATCCTGGGGTTTAGAGTAAAAAAGCAGAGTAAGAACGATTCCCTGTTGATGCACGCAAATCTACATTCCGGCAACAGACGTGTCTGGAATGAAGTTTGGCGTACTTTTTATTATCAATTCCTGTTTCTCCTTATTGCACTAGAGACTTTAGTAATGGTAGTGGTCTAGACTGAAAAGAACTGGCACCATTTCATTACACAGATGCAATTACGAGAAGACAGTGCGTGACTGTTTATCCACTGACTACATCACGTCAGCTACAACAACTTGGATTTTACTGGAAAATGGAATCCAACCCACTGGTCTTCCATTTGCCAACAACCACTTAAACATCTACACAAAAAACCCTGGACCTATCTCAGAACACAAACGTAAGAAGTTCTGAGGCTCTCCAAAATGAATATTCACCAGCCACTACTGATTTCTATGGACACTTTGTTTAAGCACTAGATTTAAGTCATGATGATTTAAACTGGGATTTTTTTCAAGCAATCATACCAGGACACCAGTATATCTGTCAGCAAATGACTGATAGCAAAGCTATGGGATTACAGCAGAAGCAGTACTGCTCCCCCCATTTTATTTCAGGTTCCTCTACTTTTCTTTTGGAAAGAAATTGTTCTTACAGTCAGGAGAATTCTCTCATCTTAATCACTTTTAAATAAGACTGCAGAAAACAAGGAAATGTGCAACAAGGAATGATCACTGCAGATGCACACCAGAGGAAGTATAGTACACCTCTGGAAGAAGAAAGATTTAGGGAAGTTTTAGAAAAATTAAGAATTGAAGACCTTAACAAGGAATTTTATGCACTTCAATAAAAAATTCTGTTTGTGCTTCTTAGATTAAAAGTGAACAGGGTAAGCACAGCCAACTTACACACGTCAAATCTCTAATCCATTCTGCCATGTCACATATACAATAAAGCTAGAACACAGAGCCCTTTTCTGATAGCTTAACCACACAAACTACAGGACGCAAGAATTTAATGCCTGTGACTGTTGAGCTTAGCAATGAAAGCTGAAGAAATATGAAGTTTCTGCGATGCCTGAAGTAAAAAGCGAACAAACAGATCTGTTCAAAACACTGCAAGTGTCCTGTTTCTGCAACCCCACATGCCTGCATGAAACAAAGCCAAATGTGTGTGGGCAAAAGGGCCAATTATATTAACGACTGCCTTGACAGAATATAAGAGGTTAAGAGTGCAGTAGACTAAGCAGAACTGAACTGTACTTCCACCTGCATTGCTGGTGTTATCTGCCATGAGGCTAGAAAGGACAGTCAAACTCCTGGATGCACAAAGGTATCAATTACATCCAGGGTTTGTGGGAACATAATAAAGGCAGCCAAAGTGTCCCAGACTGGCACAAGATGTGTGTGTGCATGAGATCTTTGGTTCTACTAAATTAACTGCTTACCACAAAACCCAACTCACACTGACACATATCTGTTTTTATAATTCCCATTCCTTGGGAAACTTGTAATTTCACAATTTCAGTACTGATTTTAGACATCCTTCCAATATTTACTTTAACAACAACAAAAAGCATATAGTTAAAACTGTTAAAACATTGGTACAAAATAAAAAAGTTCCTGGGATCTCATTGAGACAATTCCTTATGAACCAACATTTGTCAGAACACACCACATGAATTTTCAGCTTTCTAGTTTCCTTCAACAAGCTGTATCAAACTTAAGTGCACAACCAAACTGTTAATATTCATGCTTTTAAATATAAGAAAAGTTACAGGAAAAAGTCAAAACAACCTTTAATTACACATTGGTTGTCCTCCCTAACTTCCTATCAAATTCTGCAGTGGTGGTCCATCCTTTTGCTTATGTTTTTGCTACAGAAAACAAGTCTCAAGAAAGAATCTACTTAGCATAATTCCTTTCTACTGAAAAAAAAAAGAGTTTGCTTATCTGCGTAGTTCAGTCAGAAATCATCTAGCCTTAAGACGTGTGATAAAACTGTTTTAACATGCAAACCAGCATGGTTATTAAAAAGCATATATGACAGCAATAGTAGTAAAGCATATATCTCCTCTTTATATACATTATCAATATATTTAAGTTTTGGAAACAATCAGGTGATGCTATCTGTACTTAAAAAAAAAAATTAATCTGCACAAGATTTTGTACTTACAGTAAATATTCGCCTGCCAGTCCGATCAAAAGTTACACAGTATACAGAGGATAAGTGTCCTAAAATTCGTTTGTGCATCTTCATATGTTGATAGACTGCAGTTGGAACGAGGCGTTCAAGTCTGTATTTTCCATTTAGTTTTCTTGAAAAGAGGGTATCCACTACCAAATGAGGGAAGAAAAAAGAAGAGACAGCATTTACAAAGGATTCATAAGCTGAAATACATCTCCAGGATAGAAAGCTTGTTTCAACGCTGGACCACTTGCCCCATGAACAGGTCACTATAGTAATTCTCTCATTTTGCCCTAGTTAAGGGAAAAATATACACAAAAGTAGCCTATGACACAGACTGTCAAAAAAGTATCAAAATGCAAGACAGAGCATAAAGATGCAATACATCTTTTAACTGTCAATGCTCAAACTTTCTACCTAGAGTGAGAAATTCAGGCGAACTGAGACAGCTTCCACAGTGGAGTTAAGTAAATTTAAGAGCTTCCACACAGCTACTAACTGAATACGTCTAAACATTCAAATCTTCTCCAAGACAACCTGATTTTTGATTTCTAAGCAATCAAATATTTATCTACCACTTACAAGTCAATAATTATTACTGCTACCCACTATAGCTAAACAAAACAAAAAAAACCACCAAACAAATTTACATACAAAGCTGTAAGACCTTAACAGAACACTCTGATTTTGTTTAACAGAACCTTATTCAAAGAGCGTGGGATTTACTGTTAAAGTTAAGCAGGTTCAGGAGCAGGAATCTACTTCATTTGAACAAAACAGAAATCTTCCATCAAGAGCTTCAGTAAAGAAAATAAAGCTCGGTGTTACTAATTTTAAACTGCTACTCATCCAGTGACAAAGCAACAGAGTATAATGCTTATATGCATGGATACACACATAGACATTAGTCTAATAGCTCCCAGTATCATCACCAGAGCACAGAATGGCAATGGCGATACATTTTATACTCCACAGAATGGTGATAAAGCAGGCGATACAACATTCCTCCCTAGCATCAACTGCAGAACAGCTACACACCTCTTGCATCGCTTGGTTTTAGCCCAGACCAACCAGACACTGGCTCATGAGTCAGCACAGGTCAAACTACATTAAATATGCAAACTGGATTGTAGCTACTCTATAAGGAGCAAAAGCACTTAGTGGTATGGACAACTGCCAAGCCCGTTGGCCCCAGGCCATAAGAACAGCCCTGAAACATTTTGGTTAACTGCCTGTGCAGTCCAAGGATTCAAGGAAGTTTTCACAGTTCAAGATGCTTTGTGAAGGAGCAGGATCATTAGCTGTGGAGAGGAGGCATTTTTAGTCAATGTGCCACTACTGCCTTAAGGTTCTACTATATCCTCTTCACCTTCCCTGTTCGCAAGAAAAAGATGCAGTTGCATTTGCTTTATGTCAAAGTTCTTCCTTGCCAAGAGTCTACTTTGGAACAGCAGCAAACCAGGATTAGTTCAGGCACAAGATAAATCTAGTTTTGGTTTCTGACAAATCATCCTATGGTTAAAAACAAAACCAAAACCGCCCACACCAACAAAAAATAACATGCACCCCCAGAAGAACAACCAAACAAAAAAAAGCAAACACACACGTACACATGCACGTACAAAGAGAATAAGGAAGGTGTTTGTCACAGTAATAAAACAAACTTACACAATAACCTACTCAGAAGCTACATTCTGCTTGTTTTTAATGTCAGATGGAGATGGCTGTTGGAAATCAGCTTCTACCAATGCCTTCAAATGAAAGCATAGCTTACAAAAAAGGAGACAAGCTGAACTAAAAGTTTAATTTGAAGAGATGTTCTGTCAATAAATCAAAACTGTAAGCAGACTCTTTAGGATAAAAGAACCAATGACTTCATCACACCCTCCCATTTAGGTATTTATGGCCATTGACAGCACTACCCCCATGTTTTCTCTTCTCTAGGCTAAACAATTCCAGCTCTCGTCTTCTCCTTGTTATGACAGATTCCTCAAGTCCTTCATCATCTGCCTAGTCCGTTTCTAGATTATCCACAGTCTGTCCATAACTTTCTTGTTCTGAGGAGCTGAACCCAACACTCTAGGTATGATCTTGCCTGAGCTGAGCAGAGAGAAAGGAACACCCTTAACCTAATGGCAATGCACTGCATCCAACAGCCCAGGATGCTGCTTCATTTGCATGTGGCAAGGGCATGTTGCAGACTCAACGTCTCACATGTTCAGTACCATGACAGCCAGCTTGTTTTCTGCAAAGCTGCTTTTCAGCCTGTTGGCCCCCAGTGTCTGCTGATTAATGAGGTTATTACTCCCATGACTTTTGCACTTCCCTTTGTGGAACTTCATTAGATTCCTTTTGACTCATTTCTCCAGCCTGCTGAGGTCCCCTGAATGGCAGCACAGACCATTTGATCCATCAATCACTCCTATTTTTGCATCGTCTGCAAAACATGGTGTTTCACCATCTAAGTTATTAATGAATATGTTGAACAATACTGGCTCTATCAGTATCAACCCCCAGAGTACACCATGAGCGACAGGCCCTCACGCCAGTCACTAGAATTCATTCTGCTGATCACAACCCTTGGAGTCCAGCATTTCTACCTTATCTTATCAGCTGGTCAGTGAGAATGTTATGGGAGCCTATTTAGACAGTCTTGCTGAGGCCATAAACAACATTCACTGCTGTTCCCTTATCTTCCAAAGTACTCATCTTGTTCAAAAGGCTACCAGGCTAGTCAGGCACCACTTCTGCACAGATCAATGTCAACTACTCAGCCACGTTCCTGATCTTAGTATTCTGGCTTCCAGAGTATTTTTCTTCATCACTTGCCCCAGGACTGAGGCACGAAGGACTCTCCTTTAGTTCTGCAGTCTCAATCTTGCCATACTTCAAGACAGGAGTGACATTTGTGCTCATTCAGTCCTCAGGAAGCTCCCCTCACCACCATGAACATTTCAACAATAATCAAGAGTAAAAGAAAAAAAGAAAACGGGGTGGGGTGAGAAACAAGCCTCTGTGCTTAAACAGTAAAGCTAAGAATTTAAATTCCCTTTTTATAAGGGCCACTTAGGACCCTAAACTGTGAATGGACAGGGGGCTCTGCAAACAACTTCATAAAATGGAACTTAGGTTTTTATAATCTCACTTTGACTGTTACCACTGCTGCCAACAACCTCCATCTGAAACCCACACATCTCAAACAGTCAAGATGACTTTCTTTGTTTGGTTTCCCTCAGAACAATCTATCTAAAACTCAAACATAAAGCTGCTGAAGGTAAAGTGGTGGCAGTTTTCAGAGAGACTTACAAAACAGTATAGATTTTCTCACACTCAAAAGGTATGCCACAGGCACCAACTGAATACCTTCAAAGTTTTAGAAAGTCTCTAACTCACTCCCTACCCACAACAGAACAAGCAGATCAGAAAAAAACAGTGATCTCTAGAAGGAAAATAAATCTGGGGGTCTGAAAGATATGGCAGTATTAGTTGTGCTGATTCCCCCCCCCCTTGGCTTTCTTATCTCAATTTTATCAAAGTGACTGATTCCATCAGCTTATCTACATGATCTTATCCCAGGTGTGAAATATGCCTTAAAGTTGAGAGACAGTAATCTGCTTTATCCACTAGTTAGTGATAAAGCAAATTTAATTTGTACCAAGTGTAAGTTACATTAAAAAAAAGTATACACAAAAATCATTGTAACTTTTCTTTCATTTTCTTCCTTTCTGGAGTTGTATTTAACTAATGAAAGTCCTATTCTGAGGAACAGAATCCACCTGCATTCCCCTTCCAGTCACACAAAAACAGAACCAAATTCAGAAGAAACCTGGAAGGACACCTAAAGAATATACTTCACTTACAACTCCTAACCATATTGAATCAAGTTTCCTTAATTTGAGAGCCTAGACAAGCCTCTAATGAATACCAATGCATTCAGAGCTGTTAATAACATATATATGTGTGTGTGTATATATATATGTGTGTGTGTGTGTATATATATGTAAGGAGACACCTGGATTCCTTTCACTCTCCAGGCTAGTAAGACTAACTGGATCAAACACTCAATTTTGGGTTGTTGGTGCTCCCCCCCCCGCTTCTGTAAAGATGTCCAAGGTTAAAAAAAACAGCTTAAATTGACTTCTACCTTCCTGCTGTTTTTCTCTTCAACTTCTAAACTGTATGCAGTACTCTAAGGTCTCCTGGCTTATACATCGTCAACCAATGAAAGTGGGCAAGCCACCAATCTGATGAAGCCAGAACCTCTCTCTGGGCATTTCACGGAAGTATACTGACTTTTCACTGGAGCATTTATGAAAATAAAAAAGTTCTCTACACATCTAAAACTTTATATATACAGTATTAATTCACCCAATAGAAGTAACTGCCAACCTTTCTAATTCATACAGGCAGAATCTGAGGTGTTTCAAAAGGCGTAAGGTAAAAACAAATGAAAGTTATACGATCAAAACCATTTCCAAACTGTTCCCTGACTTCAATGCAACCTCCTTTGCTTTCACGATATATTTTTTCAACTCATATTTTACTCAAAGTGTAAATTCCGTAAGACTTCTATAGCTCATTCATTCTTGCACAAAAACCAAAAGTAATTTAGTATAATTTACTTTAGACTTGAATAAATGCATAAGAAAATGTCACTTTTACATAGATCCTTTAACACAAGATGGTCTTTTAGGTTTTTTTTATTTAATTAACAGAGTAATAAAGTTACACGAAGTACTCTTAGGTTAGCTTTTAGGCTTGAAGTATTTACTATATTTCTAGAAACAGAGATCTGCACCACTTCCAGAACCTCTCATTCTCTCTACAGCCAAAACAGCAGAATCATTTAAGAAGAAACTGAGAAAAGTACAAAATGTCTCAGAACTTTTCTTGAGGTGGGCTATTCAGAAAGACCATGATATACTATTTTTGATGGTCAGGAACAACATTCTTCAATGTCTGGGGTGAACAGCCAGTCTCATGCAAGTCTTCACACTTGAGTGGCCAGCTTCCCCAAGAGCTTTAAGCTGGAAACTCTTTAAGCTTTGTGCTTTGGTTCTGTGCTTTCTCAGCAGTTCCTGAAAAATACTGAGTTAGTTTTTCCTTTCTGCATCAAAGATGATTTTTTTCATTAAAAAAAAAAAAAAATCACCAAAATTTAGCATATGACATAGCTCTTTTTTTCTTAATTCAGCAATTTTTTAGATTATGTTGCACAAGTAATAGCAACTGGACAAAGATTATTCCACATTGAAGCTTTGTTTCTCTTCATTATGCTCTACAGATATTGTGTAGTTTCCTGGAGAATAACATATTTGTATTTTAATTGCATATAAACCAGCTACAAGGTCGCTGGCACAACATACACAAGAATTTAATTCTACAGACTATCCTAATAGCATCATAATTGCACGGATTCATCACACTAGCAAACAAACAAGTATTTCAGTATGTTTGCTGAAATCAAATCAAGTTTTCCTGCCCAAGACAAAGACTTCAGTATGTTTTCTATTCCTCAACCACTAGCAGGTTCACCACCTGAAACACATACAGCCTGAAGAATAATAGGTTTCTTTTTGTTGTTGTTGTTGGACAGACATGTAAAATACAGGCTTCCATGGGGAAAACAGGAGAAGTGTCACTGCAGTTCATGATTTCATTGAGAGGATCAGACTAGGATAGGATACATCAAAAACAAATGCTTTAACACAGAGTTCTGAACCAGACATCCAAAAAATTAGAATGTACTTCACAGCTGAAAACATTCAGTTACCAGCACTTATCTCCATGTTTGGAAAAGGAAATAACTGGTCATGAAAAAAGTGGTATGCTGAAATAACTGTAATTTTGCAAATATTCAATGTTTTGCAGAAGGTTCAATAACAGTAACATTTATTTAGAAAGCCTTAGCTGTTCTTCCTCAAAGAGAGTCTGGACATTCTTCTTCTTAACATTTAATTCTATTACCACAGCGGCTCTACAACCTTTTTTGAACTCCAGCTGCCATGGATTTCATACACTGATCTTTTTCCCTTTAAAAACTATATACCATGGAGCAAGCTACAGTACAATGCTAAACACTCCTCCTCTTCCATTCTGATTTCTCCAAAATATTTTAAAATGTTGGAGTAAAACATAAGCATAGGAGGCATGCTGGAGGCATAGGGTAAGGCAACCACTACAGAAATCTCAACTATTAGAAAGCGCAGGCCTCCAGGCACCTTGCAGAAATAGCCACTAATCTAGCTCAAGATTTTCCAAGTTTGCAATTGGTCAGCTTACAATTCAGGTCAATGTACAACCACTCAAAAGGGGAATTCTTCTATTTAGTAACAAGCATTTTCTCCCCCACACCTAGAGCATGACACAGAAACTCTCTACATAAACACCAAAACAGCAGCTCTGAACAAAACCACACTGGATGGATGCAGGTGCTATATGAGCATGTAAGTGAACTGCCTCTGACCAATACACATACTAGCTGGTAAGATTCTGAAACCTCAGCTCTCAACACCCAGCAAAACCATCTTTTCTTCCTATATTCCCAGCATCTGCAGAAATACCACTGAAAGCATCCAACTTGTGCTTTAGAATGAAAGAGCTCCTAAGACAACCAATTACTTTTGACACCTGACCAAGTCAAAGCTTCTCAGCTGTTATCATGTTTTTGAACTAATTCTCTGGGTAAATTGTAATGGTTGCATTTTGAGATTTGAGTTCATTAAAAATAACATAAACAGCAAAAATTAAGCTCAGTCATATAGTTTATGTATTTATATATATGCCCCAATTAATGGAAAACTTACAGGCTACCAACAGCCTCTGAAAGGAGTTCAGAGATTGAAAAAATGTAATGGCAAGTTACCACTTTAAATATGCTTCTACTCCAAAAAGCACTTAGCTATATATCTGTACACTGTTACTCATAGTTTTCCAATATATACTCAGCCTTCTCTTTCTTTCCAAGACTGAAATCTTTGTCTTTGTAGCACCTGCACCTGATCAGGAACCAGTCAATTAGATAGCTTTTGCCCACTGTCATCCACACTGCACATCTATCTGTAACTACTGGTTTGGTATAAATCACTACTGCTTTTGTATAATCCACACTGGTAATACGGTCTTAGTCATTCCCCCTTCCCTGGACATTAGCAGAAAAAGATGAAAAGACAAAAGTAGTTTTGCACATTTTCCTATTCATGACAAAATTGAAAGGATGACAATTTCCTAAAATATCACAACTCAATTCTTCTAGCAACTGAAAAAAAACCCTAACCCATGTATCTTTCTGTTAAGAGGTTGAAAACTAAAACATGTTTTAGTGACCATGTGAAAGCTTAAAAATAGTTAAGAAAGAAACAAAACAAAACAAAACACATCTGACCCCCAGCTTCTCAGTTTTTCAGCTGTGCAGCCAGCACATGCATGCTCCATGATACATGAAACTAAACCACAGCTACAAAATTACTGAATGGACCAAAGAGTAGAAAGAATAACTTCTACAAGACACAGCTTTCCAAAGAAAAGCATCACCAGTCTACATTACTCATTCTCCCCAACAACGGGTGCAAAACACACTCTCCTGGTTTTAAGTCGTTATATATTAATTATTTATCTACTGACAGCTTTCCTACATCTTTAAGAAAAAGTTTTATTTGCATGCATTCACTGCTGAAATGTATTTTATTCCACTTCATACTTCAAAGACAAAATTAGCTTCAGAGCAGAACTAGTGTATTAACTTACAATACCTATTTTTTTCCCCACATACAAACTGGCAAATATGACAACACATCTTAACAAAAAGGATACTAAATGTAAGGTATATAACACAAACAAGGTCAAATACACATAGCACTACTACTTAGCAATAATCAATCAACCTGGAGTTAGGTAATGGCAATGCCAGAATAAAAGTGACTTACCTATACTAGGTGGACTGCCATAATTTACAGGTGACTCTGGAGGCCTCCCACAATGTAGTGCAGCAAGAGCAGATCCCTTCCATACAACATGTTTGCAACCTGTTTTTAAAAAAAAAAATTACACAAACAAAATATAGGCGAGCACTTTTTCATGCAAAAACTCAGAAGAGGCACGAAATATCAAGAACTCGCAAAATTCTCGTAAATTTTTCATACTTTTGTTTGTACGAAGCAAAGACTGTCTGCCAGCTCCTAATAATGTCTGCACTCCAGGGACACTCTGGGGAATTTCTTGCTCTAGAAGAGGTCCAAGTCGATGGCATATTTGAAGCAAGTGGTCAGGTGCCAAGTGTCTGTAATATTTCACCTATTTATGAAAGAGCAAACAAAACAGCTGCTAAAGAACCCAGTATTTGTTAAGAATTACTGATTTTTTTCCAGATTGTTACACAAATTCACACACACACACAAAAATAATAAATCACAGTATATTAAGGATAAAAACAAATAATGACCTTTAAGTGCATTAATTCATTCCAGCTGGTCCTAATTACTTCTATTCAACACATGCCACTTTGCACAGAGAACTTTTGGTATTTTCTACTTTTTGACTTTAATGCACAGTTGGTCATAGACTAATAAGCACCTTTATAATCACAGTACAACAAATGTAAAGCATATACATTCAATATTATATTTAATATAGTGATCTGGTCAATTATACTCTAAGATAAAGATGAGACAAAGACTGTAAGGACAGCAACACCATTTTATGGTTCTATTTACAGAATTCTTGGAAGATCCACAAGGAAGATCCACAAATAACACTGCTTTGTAGAAGAAAATTCAAAAACATCTTCCTTCAACCTACCGAAGTTACAAGATTTTGTTGAAGCTTCACAACTGGATTTTAATTTTTTCATCTTGAAAATGTTGGCTAAGGAATTTAATTTTAAAATTGGTATGCATGATCCTCTATTAGGCCACAAACATGACCAGTTTGGCAACTGCTCATTGTTTTCAACTGCACAGTATCAAAACAAGCTCTTCTTATCAGCAAAAGAGTTTCTCTTATACCAGTGTTGAATGAGTATTAATGACTGACCAGAAAAAAACAGTTCATTCTTTTGAACTACTATAATACTAGAGCAGAAGACCATCTTACATAGGAAGGGGAAAAAGCCTCAAATGCATCAACAGTACAATCCTATTATAAAGCTCTTGGTTAAGAAACAGCATTTTTGAAATGGATAAGCTATTGTCAGCTTAGACAATAACAAAGCAAATTTAAAATAATAAAATTAGCAGGGAGGGTAGGAACTCAGTTTTCTTCAGTTCTTGTACAGGGTCTAGTGTGTAGCAGTTTTATCCTTCACACAGCCTGAAATACATCTTCACAGCTTTACTTTGCAGAAACAAGGGAAAAAAAAAAAAAAGGCACTGCAGTAAAAGCTTGTGATGTTTTGTTACTCTGCAACTAGAGAAGGCCTTGACTGACATTTTAGGCAGAATGATGTTTCTATATTACACCTAATTAACAGGAATTCACCTCATTCTCAACAAATGTGCTCCTATCTTGCTGACACGCTACAATCGCTTCATGTACTCCAGCAGTTTGTTAACATAAAGAGTGCTGATGTCTGAAAACGAGACTCTGGAAAAGCCTTGCTTACACCAGTAATTACCACCACCACCACCAACACAACCTTCTAGTGAAGGAAGTTCCTCTTCTGCTCCTGCCATGGTTCAACCCAGCTGGCAGCTCAGCCCCACACAGCTGCTTGTTCTCTCCCCCTCAAGTGTGGTGGGGGAGAAAAATCGTAAGGGTAAAAGAAAGAAAACCGGTGGGTTGAGATAAAGACAGTTTAACAGGTAAAGGAAAAGATGCAGGACAAGCAAAGCAAAGCAAAACAAGGAACTCATTCACTACTTCCCATCAGCAGGCAAATGTTTAGCTGCTTCCAGAAAGCAGGGCTTCCCTTCTGTGAATTATGTTACATTTGTAGAAGGCCTTGCAAGCTGCTGGAATTTGACTTCCTAAAGGTTAGCCTGCATGAATCTTGTAAGTCATTTAAAAAAAAGAGAAAGCCTCTTATTACAAAAAAAAATAATAATTTTTTAAATCAAGTTACAGTAGATTGTACAGATCAACTGTTCAAAATGCCTAAATTCAACATCATTAGAAGGGTGGCAAAAAATTATCTACTCATTTCAGAACTTGCTATTCCAATTCATTTTTATCAGTAAAATGTAAAGAGAACCTGAAGTTTTTTCCTAGTTACATGAGGAATCAGTCAAAACACATGCTTGAGAGCCCTAAAATATTATAACAGCTGTGACAAAACTATGTACCTTTCTGCCACCAACAGCCCTGATTAATTTCCTTCACTCTTCTCCTCCTCTACTACCAAAAAGAGCACAAAAACTTAAATACTGCCCTTTGTAGAATTCTACCTGAAAACAGGCTTCACATCTGCAGAACCTGAACTTGTCTCTCCAAGATTAACAATCATTGAATTACTTTTTGTTTCACCACAAGTATTAGAACTACATATGCAATTCGATTTGTCACTGTATCCTGCTCAAAAACCTTCCATTTTACAGATCCTCACAAATACACAAAATCTAAAGTAAGTTAAGCAAATTGGCTTAGACGCATTCCAAAACTACGGCTAGCTGACATCTTGAGTCATACTTCTCATGATTTGTCATAAGCCATGTGTTCATTTTTTATTTTAACAAAAACGAGGTAGGCTCAATTCCTCGTGCAGTTTTTAAAGGAAATGTTTTGGAAAGGGAGATCTATTTGCCTTACTCTTGATCATGCTTATTAAAGATCTTAATCTATACCTTACACCCACACTATAGTCTCTCCTCATGTAAGTCCATTTGTGTCAAAACAGCTATTTATACCAAATTACGCAGCAGTTTTATGATGCTTCTGTGCAGCATTTTCCAAATACTGCTACTATGCAGCATCTGCAACCAGCTCATTAACAAACTGATTCAATAATACTGAGTTGTACCCTTAAAGAAAACCAGAGTGACGCTGTCCATCTAAACACTTCTCAGTTGCAGAAAATGTATACAATTTTATTTTAATAATAAAAATATAAGCTTAATTTTACTGTAAAATCCACTAATGAAAACTCCTCTTATTTTGTTATGTTATCTTCTTTCCTGTTTTCTCATTTATAAAGAAATAAACAGTGGAAATTAAATATTAATTAAAAACAGACTATTAAGCAAGTTTTCTCCAGTGTAGTACTTTCTTCTTCATCAGAAAAACAAAAATAAAACAATAACAAAGTAGAGTATTTCCAGTTGAAAAAGACCTACAGCAATCATCTAGTCCAACTGCCTACCTCAGGACTCACTAAAACCTAAAGCATGGTATTAAGCACATTGTCCAAATGCCTCCAACACTGATAGGCTTGGAGCAGCAACCACCTCTCTAGGAAGCCTCTTGCAAGTGACAATTTGTATGTGTGACTATCAGCATTACAGTAGAAATCACAAATAAAGAAAGTGTATAACATGAATTCACCTTAATCCTGATTCCTCCCTTTTGAGGACGGGAAAACAATAAAAAAAATTGCACAAGAGAACCACACTGCTACAGCAACAACTCAAGAGACAAGGTAAGGAAGTCTTTTATTTAATACATTAAACAGAGGGGCTTGAAAGCTAAAATTATCTGCATTTTTCTAAAGTACAGCCTATCAGGAGACAATTCTTGCACTGACAAACTGTAAAAAGAAGCTAGAACCAACGTAAAATATACACACCTCCCTGAGTCCTTTTCCTAAAACAAATAACAAGGAAAAACAACCCTTGTCAAGAATGCTTTCAAGTCAGATTTCAGTGACAAAAGAAATAATTTTTTTTTTTTAAAAGACACTTTACAAGCCTTGTCAGAAACAGGAAAGCTTATGAAAACGCAACAGAATGATGGAAATTTGCCTCTATATCAATCTCTAATACCAAGAGGAGAAAGTAAAAGCAAAAGGAAAAAAAAGCAGCAGATGTACAAGTATTTAAAATTCAAACAGCTCTAAAGAAAAAGCAAGAACTGGACTCTACAAACAGGAATTTTAAATTTTTATGCCAAAACTGTGATGTTAAACAGCACCAGGGCTGTTGTTTGGTTTTGGGTTTTTTTCCCCTCTGCCAATCCCACTTAGGCTAATAGGAGGAGGAAAGAAATCAGCTAGAATTTCAGCTATCTGCAACATCTAGTTCTGCCCTTTCTTCCAACGGAAATGCACAGAAGACATGCCTTTGTAAGTATAATAAGGAGCTGGTTTTGTTTGAATAGATTTTTTGCATAAGACAAGTAACATTTCTTAAACATTAATAAAGAACAGAACTCAGTAAGTACAAAAAAAATACAGATCTCAAGCATAAATAATATTTTCTAGAAAACAAACAGAAGCATTATCTTCAACTTCACCCACTACCCCAACTTTACTTATTCCAAACAAACAACATGGGAATACACAAAATGCAGCTCCACAGCTATTCCGACAAACATTCAAATCTTTATTATCTTTGAAACAGACCTAAGTGCTTGTATTTTCATTCTGTATGACTATGCAGAATAATTCAGCATCAGAATCACAATGCATGAACAGAATCATGATCTGACCTAGACTCTAGTTAAATTTGTTATACATAATGCAGTTATTTTTTAGGCATCAAGTTAAAAATGACCCTATTCTGGATTCTGCTCTAAGCACAAGGCATACAGAAACATTCTCCGATGTACTGTTGTTGGGGGTTTCCCCCCTCCCCATGCTAATGATTAACATGCTTTACTACAAGTCAGACTGTAAATATGTTTCAGAAAAACACATTTCCACACAAGGACATTTAATAACAAAATCCAGAGTCAGCTACCTATGTTTCAAGATGCAAGAACTCTATCTTGCCAATATCAGCAGCTATCCTGGCTTAACTATTCTGCTATGTAACATATTACCCAAAACAAGCTCCAATTGAATTACAGTAATTGTTGTACTATATCAAACCATCAATCTAATAGGGTACCCTGTACCACTAGCAAGTGCCTTATCACTTTAAAATTAGGAATTGCAATGAAGTGCAATTACTTTTCCCTGAAGGATTCTCTTTTTTTTTTTTTTTCCTCTGGGGGGCTGTAGGGGCAGAGCAACAAACAGGGAGAGGAGAATTGGAGAATTAACCATTTCCCTCAAAGTATATTTATTTATCTGGTACTTTCTAATTATCTTTCAGCTAAAAGTATATGGATACTTCACCTCTATTTCCTATGGGAACGCCTATTATTTTAATGTGAGATTCCTTTTTCCTCTAATTAAATAACAGTTTACCAATACCTAAACAGGG